TTTCTAAAATGTGAAAGCTGTCTCTGATACGTTTTCAAACTCCAGAGGAAGCACTTGTTTCCACTTATTTTCAAGGTCAGCTTCAAGGTTATATTTTGAAACGGTATCTGGAGTGAAATTCAGAGTACGGAAGAACAAAACGGCAGGTACAGCATTTCACGTCACTAATTATCCAAAACCCTGGACAATTCTTGCAATTAAGCCCACAGGCAGAGAGCTCTTCCACATTCTAGTCAAAAGTAGCTGTCGGCCAAAATTGCAAGAAATGGTTGTGCCAAATTCATACTCTAGCAAAGTTTATAGTTTTTCTGGTCTGAGTCCTGAACTCAGGGAAAATGATTGCAGACCCAGCACGGAAAACTCAAGCCAGATGATCTCTAACCTGTACAGCATTTCTTTGCTAGGCTGTTGGGCTTTTCATAGATTGTCACTTCATTTTTCTCACTTTAGTTATTTCCTTGAAATACCTAGTGAGATCACTTCCGCACTTCCTTCCCATCAGACATTCTTCAGTGGGGACGGGGGAGTGTTATCTTTAATGAATTGTCCTACTTCGTGATACAGTGAGGAGAGGATCATCTTGTCTGTTGCCCAGTACAGGAACCCCTGGACCTGTCCAGCTCAGCCCCATGATGCACCGCCAGCCTTTCACCTGGATTCTCTTACAAACTATCCAGAGCTTTGGTGCCTGTTCCTGTCTGCTCAATGGCTGCATCTATAGGCATCAACTCCAGAAGACTGTAGGAGGCCAAGCTTTATTCTTCCCAGAGTTTCTGAGACAGGTAGCTTGAACAGTGATTAAAGGAATGCACCCTGATGGGTGCATAGGACACAGTAACCCCTCTATCTGAGTTATTATTATCACTATCACTGATGCTAACATTCTTTAAATAAATAGTTAAATTCTTCATCTTTTAGCAGTTTTATTACTCACTATGATAGGGAGTAAAGCAAGTTTTATATGCAAGGTATGATTAATAGTCTTACGGGATTCTTCCCTAGTTCCAGATCAATTCTCCTTTAGGCATTTATCTGGGAAGATGATGCTTCCCAAATAGCATTATCCTTCTGATGACTCTATGTGATAAGGGTGTCATTGAGCAAACTGTAGATGCCCTTCTGAACAAAGGAGAAACCCCTGTCTTTATAGACTTTCAGACCGGTTGGTTGTTTCTATTTCCATGGGATTCTCTGTAGCTCACTGCAAATATTCCTCATTTTCTTTCATCTTTACAATAGTCCTCTAAGGCAATGGCTGTGCCCTGTTCGCATGAAGGGATTTAATCCCAGATATGTTGTAGAAAATCTTCCAGAGAGGTGTCCTTCTAGCAAAAGGGAGAGAGTTCATTCAAATTCAGGTCCTTCTGGATCTAAAACCCCAGCATTTCCAACACAGCATGCACCCTTGGCCTCTCACCCCAGATGCAACCACACAATATAAATTTCTTTGGTTTAGGACATACCACTTTAGGAATAATATTTCTAGGATATTTGGACTCGACTGCATCACTAAATAAAAAAAAAACTATTTAGTATTTAATTAAACATCTTTATCTGAAAGGACTACAGTGTAATATTAATTAATTTTCTCATTTGGCAGTTAAAAATACAATGGAAACATAGAAAATTATGTAACTTGTTTAAGGTCTCATGCCTGAGATATGAACAATGGTCAGAAATCTGAAAGGGTTACTACTACACAGTACTATTTATTCTTCATCTTTGTCCCTTCAGAACAATTGTTTACCAATTTCCATGTCATGGGATACTGACCTTAAACACTGCCTCAATAGGACCCCTGAATTCTGCATTCCAGAGAGATTTCGGGAAATACAAAGGGGTTTTATATTTATCCCACGGAGCTTCAGTTTGCCTACCCTAGGCCACAGTTCTTCCTGAGTCTTCAGTTTGTGTTTCACTGTTGATGTGGGATGCCCTTCTGGATGCTTTGAATATATGTTGCTTTTATTGGTTGATAAATAAAGCTGATTTGGCCAATAGACTGGCAGAATAAAGCCAGGTGGGAAATTCAAACAAAGATATGGGAAAAAAGAAGGTGGGGTCAGGCAGTTGCCATGTAGCCACTGAAGGGGTAAGATGCCAGTACATTACCAGTAAGTCACGGCCATGTGGTGATACACAGATTAGTAAAAATGGGTTAGTTCAATTGTGAGAGTTAGTCAGTAATATGCCTGAGCCATTGGCCAAACAATTATAATTAATATTAAGCCTCTGAATGTTTATTCAGGAGCTGGCAGCATGAAGAAAATCATTTACACAATGGGTAATATTATGAATTTCTTCTTCCCCTCTTTAAGCTCTGGGAGAATATAGTTAGACACTTGTTCCTACATCCTTCATGCTTCATTATCCCTTGATGGCTGCCCTTAGGCCTGCCCAAACTGTGGCAAACTATCATTCACTAAACAATCTTTGGTCCCTTTGAGTAAATCTTATGTCCTCTGTTGCAATGGTTATTGATAACCCAGTCAGTAAGATATAACTACAAGGATGTTAACACTTGTTAGATGGGAAACACCCATCAGGCTGAGATGTCCAGGAAGAAGCTTTGAATGAGAATGAAAAGGTAGAGGTAATGACTGTGAGAAGTATGGAGGATGCTTGGGGAGCTCAGGACAAATGAAGAAAATAATTAGCAATGTATACTTTTTGCTTGCTTCTCTGACACAGCATATAGCCTTTGACTTTTTTTTTAAATCAAAGCAAGCATTAATTAGAATGACAACCACCCAGCTTTCAACTCAATGGAATGGTACAATAAAACTTGGTGCCTGTTCTGTCTTCAAAGGTGAACTAAGATGTGTATCTTAACCTGTTTTCAAGACACAAAAACCACCACACAGTGATTTACAGGTCACTGGTATTCAGCCAAATAATTTCACTTTGGATTTCCTTTTATGTTCAATATAAATGAAAGATACCTAGATCCTCCATATATCCCCCCTAAAAGAACAGATAATGAAAACTTCAAATGAACTGCAGCTGTACTCCCACTAGGTTCTAAGACTGGTTATGTAGATCATGAAGGCAAATGCACAACACTCCTAAGCTTCCTTTAGAAAGAGTACATGAAAATTTTCTCATGAATAAAATGCAAGGACTTAGTGTCTAGGATTTTGTGTCTATTAAACGAGTACACAGCATGAAAGCATCTATTTACCTCAGAGTTTGGAGCATTTATGAAATAAAAGAATTTAGAACAATTGGAAAAGGAAAAAATACTAACTTATTATCCCAAAGTTTTGCAAGTCCTGTCTGGTCAATGTTACAGTATTTTCTATTAACAAATCTTCCATTCTGGTGGCTTTCTTAATGGGATATATTATGTAGACAGTTTCAGCAAACCTTCACAATATCTTCACTCATGAACCAGGAAAAAGAAAATTTCAAGCTCTACCTGGTTCCTCCCACTCAGCGTTCCTTCCAGTACACATGTCTGTTCCCCAAGACACATGGTGGCACAGGGTTAGAGTCCCTGTCTTAGACACTGTCCTTTCGCTGTGAAGAAACACCATGACCAAGGTAACTCTTATGAAAGAAAGCATTCAATCGTGGGCTGGCTTACAATTTCAAAGATTTAGTCCAATGTCATCTTGACAGGAAGTGTGCAGGCGTGCATAGTCCTGGAGCAGTAGCTTAGAGCTTTACATCCATAGACAGAGGGAGAGAACTGGGCCTAGAATAGGCTTTTGAAACCTCAAAGTCCATCCCAAGTGACACACCTACTCCAACAAGGCTACACCTCCTAAGCCTTCTCCAACAGTTCCACTCCCTGATGGCTAAGCATTCAAATCATGAGCCTAGGAGACTACCACAATACCAATCAGTATTTATTCATCACATACCCTGTACAGTACCTTGTACAGAACATTTCACCTGCATTCTCATTTAATGAAATAAAAATTCTATTTTCTCCATTTTATAAACAAGGCAGCTAGACCTCACACAGCCCAAGTCACAGTGAAATATAAGATTTCTGGATTCGTTCATTTTTATGTAACTGACTAATCACTTGCCCTGAGGAAAGCATCATTCCCACAGCAACAGACACTCAGCATTAAAATGAGTTAGGAGACTGAAGGGGTAAGATGCCAGAAAGCCCAGTATCTGGGCTTTCTTAGCTGTTAAGCATGTTTTACATGTTTGATTGGCAGACTTGTATCAAGCTACCAGCATCAGATCAGTATTCATTAGTGTGCACAACAAGATCTAGGAGCAGAGAATTTCTCCAAGTCACCCCTAGACAACATGCCTTTGAGTCTCATTGGTCCACAATAAAAGAGACACCACACCCTTTCATGAATTAATCAGCAAGGGGACTGGAGGGACACTGATTGACAGAAACCAAGACTCATCCTTCTCCTATCAAACACTATTTTACAATCAATCAATAAATGAATAAACAAATTTATAAGGCAAATGAAGCCACAGCAGGACAACAGACAGGAAGAAAAGGAAACCATAATAATTAGACTGATATTAAGGACTTTTTCAAACAACACATTTTTCTTACAATGATTTACAGAATTTCTTATCAATCTTTTTTCTAATTCTACAATTATTGGCCATAGATTTTATATTTTGAACATTGGATAATAAACCTCTTTGGAATTTTGCTTGATAATTAATTTTCTCATATTCAACTTCAAAAAGAGGTCAAGACTAATTTTACCTGTTACCTGAAAGTTATTCATCAGGAACACCAATTGACTTTTCAAACAACATGAAGTACAAAGAGATCTTATTTAACCAAATGAATGTTGAGCTTTAGTGTCTAAATGTCTTGTTGCTATAACATTATTCAATCTGGAAACTAATATTGAATGAATCTGTCTCTCCATATCAGTTATTGACCCATGTGAAGCCTAGGGGTAAGATCTGCAGGTTATAGCTGTTTTAGAACTCAAAATCACAGTCAGAGTGGCGTAGCTGATTTTGACAGAGTAGCTGACAAAGTAGACCTACTTTACTAAACTGACCTCATTCACTTGTTTTTTGTCCAGATGGAACACTTGACCAGAACTTGTAGAGGCAATTTCTTCATAGACTTTGTATCCAATATGACTCCTGTCATCACAGTCTCCAGTGAGCACGAATACCACCTGAGATTGTAAAAGCAGACAAGAGTTTGATAGATTTCCAGATGTGTGTGTGTGTGTGTGTGTGTGTGTGTGTGTGTGTGTATGCACCTATTACATACCAGAATATTAGGGGACAAATACCATATGGTAATTATTAACCTTATTCTCTGTTTAACCATGGGCCTCCGCAGGAACACAGTCACCAATGTTTCAGTTTGGCTATGGAAGGGAGACCACAACTCTACGAGCATACCCAGTGGCCTCAGTTCCTCATCTCATCATGTATACATTCACATTGCAAAGAATTTTGACGATCTTCTCATGAACGAAACATTATTTATATTGTCATCTTTGGATCTGAGTTTGGCCATCTGGCTTGACTGTCAAAAGCTTGAGGTGGAAGAAACACTCTGTAAGTTCAGTGCTTCAATGCAAAAGACCTTGAGCACTTCTAGTTAGTCTCCAGTGTTTCTGCCATGGCCACAAGAAGGGTGTGCCTAAATCGACCCCTTCATCTTAAAAGAAATCTGTAAAGAAAAGCCAATTTACCCAAAGCATCTAAACATTCCCAGACCTACACATTCCTAGGCAGGCTTTAGTAGCCTAGGTTAACTAGCGTGCTAACATGGGAAAAATAAAATGCTGTGCTTTAAACTGAGTTTTGTTACCATGGCAATAACTAACTAACAATACTAGATAAATAACTCAGGAAAGACTCCCCATAAAAAAAAAAGTGGCATTTGAGATATAGACCTAACCAATTTGGCTAAGATGTTAATAAGTACTTTTGTTAATCTGCAATCATTTCTTCTTTGTGGTCAAACCCAAAGTATCAATATGCTATGATAAGTATGAATTTACTACATTAGAATTATATGCCATGTACAAACTATTTGGTTAAATGGGTGGTTAAATGGTTATGACTATGAATATTTATCACACCACAGAATAATCAAAAGGGATAAGCAAGCTTCCGTGCTTGTTCAGACAAGCAGGTCTAGGGACGATGCCTACTTACCTGGGATTGTTTCTGTTGAATAAGCTGCAGCACCTCGTGGGTGAGCCGGTAATCCTTGGACCGTGCATCAGTGAAAACATAGATGAAAGATCCAGGAAGAGAAATTTCCAGGGCAATTTTTATAGCTCCAATACTCATTTCTGGACAATCACCTCCACCCTGTTGAACAGAAAGCAAGATGAAATCATTTCATGACGAAATGGGGATTTGGGGCCTAAGTGACCTTAGGAGTTTAAATGTCAAACAATCACTCTTTACTTTTATTTTCTGTCAGTTTGCTACCAAATTAATCACTTTAGTGAGGAGAGGATGAACAAATATATCAATCAATTGATACAGAACTGGAAAAATTCTGTACTGATGGGTTAGTTTTATTCTTCCCGATGTTGAGATAATATGCTCTCCCCTCTTTCAAACTTGCTGTGTCTGTGATTAGCTGCCCTACTCATTCTTCAGATACACTCCAAATGCTTTGTGTTTTAAGGGTACTTGATGTATTTCTCACATATATCACTTGATGTATTTTTCATATATACATCATATATGTGTGCATATTATATATCTTATTGCCATAAATGACTTGAAATGAGTATATAGTTGGGAAGTGAGAAATAGTCACTACTTGTGTTAGTAACTAGTATCTGAGATATTAACTGTCCCTTAGTTACTGTCATCTGGTACCAAACAAACAGGAAGGGTGTTCTCTCTATAGACCATGCATCAGGGGCACAGGAATGGGAAGATTTAGTTAACCTTGATCAGTTTGTGCATAGAGGACACTCGAAATCCTTTGACTTAGGCACACACTTTCCCTAGGAGCATCGGTGGCTTCCTAAGTCCTTAGTTGTCACTAAATGTTACCAGGAGCAGTCTTAAATCTAATCTGCTGAACTGAGATCCTCCCAGAGCTCAAACTCATCCAAAAACTGAATGCAGCTCTTAAAGATAACCTGCACTCGAAAGCGACCCCTACCTTTTTGCCCTATAAATTTGAATGAAGCAGTTACAACATATTGATAAAAATCAATAAAGTATTTCTAAGCACTGGGAACACTTCTTGTCATGTGTACAAGCTTATGAGGCACCCAACTTCATGTGTGTGAGGCTCAATACTGGCTAATGAACAATATTGGAAAGAAGTTGTCAATTGACACAGCTCAAACTGAACAAACCACAATTACAAGTAAAAGGTGTTCTCTTTAAGGCATCAGCTTTCCCTGTGTCATACTCTTCAAGATGAAATGATTTGGCTTTTGTATAAGAACTAATGAAGAATCTCAGGACATTAAGAAAAGTTAGGAATATTTAGTAAAAAGGAAATATTTGAGTCACATATGCCGGAACATACTCACAGTTTAATTTTTTTCTACTCTGGATGTAAGTGCACTTTTATAATTTAAAATGACATTTTCTCTGACTTTCACATTTCCACATACCAATTATATTGTAATCACATACATTAATTTTATATACATATATTAATTATAGTAATTTTAAGTAGTAAAACCATTCTTTTCCCCAAAAGGGTACAGTATCTTTATTATCTTCTTATTTATATCTAACTGAAAATTAAAAGTAAATGCTAACTAGTAATTCATATCTTATTGAAACTATTTCATTGTAGATATAGTTCCCTTAAAGGAAAAAAAATGAGGTTCTTCTTTTTCCAAAAGAAACTAATATAAAATCCATATTGAACCCTTCTCTGACACCTGAGTTTGGTCTTCTGACAATTAAATAACAAATAACCACCAACATACCTAAAAAGCAATTGCTTTATCTCTTCTGTAATATGTAACTACTAAGTAGTCTGATCTGGCTACTGAGCAACTGAAGTGTGGTTAATAAAACCAGGCAACTGAATTTTAAATTGACTTCATTTTATTGATATGCATTTAAATTTAAAAATTAAAGGGGTGCTATTTTTTTTTTTTTACTAATGACATACTTGAATGATAGTACTCTACATATTTTGAGTTGCATGGCTACATTCCTAAAAATTGTAATTGAGTTTCATGCTGCAATTTATTAGACAGCAGTACTTTGGAATGGTCCACTGGAATTCATTAAGGATGCTTAAGTCTTGACTGGTAATTAAAAGGTGAGGGCATTGACCTAAAAGTCTTTGATAAGTTTCTTAGCAGAAGTTATCAGAGGCAAAATTCAAATTGCTTTACTTTACTAAAGTGTAAGTTAATGTCTTTGATGATAGTTTATAGAGGTAATAAGCTTATAAATAAAGCTCATGATGTGTTTTCATATATAGATTTTTTCTACCGGGCCCTTTCCGCCAATTGATCACAACGAGGTGAGTGACCCCCTGCTCTTACCCAACTCCTGTCCAAAGCGCCATTCACCCAGATCCCCCCAGGCTTGTGCATGCTTGGAGTAGACACGCCCAGGCAGGGAGGAACTCCCTGAATCTGGGTACAGGCCACTCTTCCTTACTTTTCCACCTACCCATCAGCAACTAGGTGAGTGACCCCCTGTTCTTACCCAACTCCTGTCCAAAGTGCCATTCACCCAGATCTCCCCCAGCCTGCTCCTGCTTGGGGTAGACCTGCCCAGGCAGTGAGGAATTAATAAGTTCATAAAACTTATCTGATAGTGAAAATATAAAGTCCAGTAAAAAGCTTCACAACTCTATTTCGGCTACTCTAATGGTAGTTAAAAGTTAATTGAGTTCTATGTTCTTTGGGTCTAGTTCATTTTGGTGTGTGATTTCTTTTTATCTGCAATGATTTTTATAAAGCTTAAAAAAGTAAAAAAAATAAAGTTTTGTCTTAAATCAAAAGGTAAATGGATGCATCTTACTTTTGATAAACATTGGATACAATACATCCCTTCAAATTTTGAATTAAAAATTGTCAGTAATTATCTGTGTATGTTTTCTGGACTCATGGAATCAATAGGAGGAATGCTGACACTATAAATTGTAGTGGTAAATACCAAAAATTACTTAAATGTTGCCAGTATCTTAGTCAATGTTGAAACTCCTTTGTAGACATGTATGTCTTCTACTGAATATTTTTAAAAAATAACATAAGCTTGGCAAAAAATATGTATCGCAAGAAAATATAGATACACTACAAAAGAATCTGCAGCATAGAACTTGAGGCTACCTTAAAAGCCATTCTCACATAATGAGATTGATGACTACCTTATATGCCATCCTAGAGCCTTCATCCATTATCTAATGGAAGCAGAAGCAGACACCCACACCTAAACACTGAGCTGAACTCATGGAATCCAGTTTCAGAGAGGGAGGAGTGATGAGCAAAGGGGTCAAGACCAGGCTGGAGAAACCCACAGAAATAGCTGTCCTGAACAAGGGGGAGCTCATGGACCCCAGACTGATAGCTGGGAAAGCAGCATAGGACTGACCCAGACCCCCTGAATGAGGATGTCAGTTTGGAGGTCTGGTTAATCTATGAGGCCTCAGGTAGTAGATCAGTATTTATTCCCTAGTACAGGAATGGACTTTGGGAGCCCAATCTGCATAGAGGGATGCTCTCTCAGCCTAGACACATGGGGGAGGTCTAGGCCCTGCTCCAAATGATATGATAGACTTTGAAGATCCCTCATGGAAGGCCTCATTCTCCATGGAGAGTCGAAAGGGGATGGAGTAGGGGGTTGGGGGGGGCAGGGGAGGAAGGGAGGGAGAGGAAACTGGGGTTGATATGTAAAAGAAGCTTGTTTCTAATTTAAAAATTTTTTTAAAACAAAAAAGAAAAGTCACTTTAATTTAACCAATACTTTTCTTTATAATAATACACTCTATTTGTATTAATGCAATGGATGCCTACTCTGAGTTAAGTACTGAGACCATATTGATATGTACACTATATTATTTATTCTTTACATTAATTGATCAACATGTTTCTTTATTTTTAACATATTTGATTGACAAAACACTAAATTGTGAAAAGAAAATCCTTCCCAAATCATGTAGTTATCACTCTGCCTGGGAGGAGACTTTTGTTGACTTCTATTCTGCAAGGCAGAGGCTTGCCTAACATGCTGTCAAACAAAGGAGGAAAATTCTCATTTTTCAGGGCACCCACCAAATACTGTTTCTTCTTAGATTGTTGTACTTTTTGAGTTAAATTGTGATTCATGCTTCCTTCTCTTTTTCTTGAAGAACGAAGCAGGGTTCTATTGTTATTTAATGAATGAAAGGATAAGTGAATGGGTGAGTAAAGAAGCAGATGGTATTGTTAGAGGCAATGTACATAATCTAGGTACACTTGCTGCATCCCATCTGAACTTCATTCAAACTCAGCCTGTTTCATTTCAAGTGATATCACTCCAGAGCTGAAAGAACCCTCTAAAAATAGAAACAACAAAGTGGCTCTTTAATAATGTCTAGGAAAATGGAATATATAAATATATATGTATATATACATATATAGAAATATACATGCATGTACATATGTCTACATATATGTTTATGATAAGCAGTATATGAAACTTTTTCTATCTTTGCTCTCTTGCTAATTCTTTCTCTCTTCCTTTCTTCCTCTTTTCTCTATCTTTGTTTCTCTCTTCTCCCTCTTTCTTCTCTCCTTTTTTCCCTCTTGTTATGCAGTGAAGTTTAATATTTAACAGGAGAAAATAATCATGGTTGTGTAACCTAAATGTATCACCCAAACCACAGAAACATGCACCTACACAAATGAAAGATAGCATAGAGATCGACTACATAATACAACGATTTCAACAATTGCCAAAGCATGTCATAGAAAGGGTCCAATTTTATAAACTTTTGAGTTTTTCTTTTAATTAAAATATAGCTAATCAATATCAGTAGGAGCATTCTTGCTCAGTGTCCTGATACTCATTTTATCTTTATAATTCTACAGAAAGCTCCAATTTATTAAGTTGTGGGAGATACTTCAGATGTAAAAACATTTACTGAAAAAATTAGAAGCAGTGACCTTTCAACAGTAAATGTTGCTTCTGGAATAAACTCTGAAAGCAGTACAGCCTCAGAGTAACAATTATGTTCAATAATGAATTCCTGGAAAGCAAGATTATACAATGAATGGAAATCTTATCAGTGGAGGAAGCAATAAAACACAGATTGTCTTACTCTCTTTTCTAAATACAAGGCAGGGTGGGAAGAAGCCGAAGTAAACTGAACCTTTGAACTCTGGGGA